TACACAAAAGCTCTGTGTATTCAGAAAGCAAAGTTGTGTGTTACCTCCTCCAAGGTGATGTTTGTGAACTTTTATAAGTTTCGTGTGGCACAATCCTAGTAGGACTTCTACTTCTCCATGCAGAGTCCTCCTAGGATTCATACTCCTGAAAGATAATGCTTATCCTTCAACACCCCCCTCACAACTTAAACCAAGTGAGATGGTTTTTACCATGGCCGAACTACCACATGACCGAAATAATACTGGCTATGCTAAGCCACAGAGTAGGCCGAACTATCCTTAGTTCGGTTCTTTCATGTACAAACCATGGTATGTTTAGACCGAGCTACCGAGTAGCAAGGTTTTGACCGTTCTAACCACAATACGTCATGACCGGACTAACTCTGAGACCGGCCTAACTCCGAGTTGCTTCCGGACTGGAGTAACTTTACAATTCTTGGGCCGGAGTAACTTTATCTCTCTTGGGCCGGAGTAACTTTTCGACTTTTTTACCCAGTCCTTCGTACTTTGGACCATAAAGTCCATCTCATAGCTCGGCCCCATTTTCACCAAAATTACCCTCTCAGGGAGTGAATTGGCTTTTTGACTATTTTAGTCTGAGACTAAAAAGTCTCATTTGGAAAGGACTTTTTGGCTTTTTTAATTTTTTATGAGAGAAAGAATGTAATGATTATAGGTTGGATATGATATTTATATGACTATTTTAGTCCAAACCTTCCTTCCCAAATGGAGGCATTGTACAATTCTAATTAAAATTACTTTTGTGTGTAACTAATATCACAATGAAAATTATTGACTTTAATTTGAGCACGCATGGATAAAAAATATCTGTTCAAGTCATAATTAATATTTGTTGCAGAAACAACACTTCAATTTGGTATAACTTTTTTTTTATATATATTTTTTTGGTTCTTTCTTTCTTCAATTTGCAGGATATTTACAAATAGAAGAAAAGAATTATATAGTCCAACAACTACTACAAACAACCAATACTAACAAAAAAGAATTGACCTCTGGCTTCCTAGTTAGGAGTATATAGGAGTGGACAACTAAACTATTCCAGTTAGGGCATGTTTGTTTAGTAGGATTTTAGCATAGGATTGAAATTGTATTGCAAATTTTATGAATCAAATTACATGTACAAAGGACATTCAACCCGACGAAATTGACGAATTTTTAATGTTGAAAAGGGTTGAGGATCATAATTTTAAGTATAAACGGAAAAAAATAAAATGAATACATAATAAATGGTTATCTTATTAATTTAATTAGATAACTAATCCTATACTAATTTATAGGATTATTAATCCTTTCGCCATTAATTTTGTTAACTAAACAAGGCCTTAGTTTAATAGGGTATACATGCATATGGTAGAAATCTTTAACGAGCTAGTCTATTGATTTAAAATACTCACAGTCATTGAATTATATTTTAATATTCTTATTTCTCAAAATTCTAATATAATTCAATAATTATAAGTGTTTTGAGACAACAACAGCAACAACAAACAAAAACAAAAACAAAAATTAGGGACAATATATATTACCAGCATGTGATAGGTGTGAACATGAGGGCAGCTTGAATATATTAACAATGGAACTGGTAGGCGGCCTGGGCCTGCTTCCTTATGTTTAGTTGAACTATGGTTTCTTTCATTTGGAAGGATTATTAGTTGGGCAATAAGCTTTAGATACTTTTGCAGATTATATGATATTATTTATATGATATTTTTGGTAAATAAAAAAGCGTATTGTATATTAATTTGGTTAGGCTTCTAATTACTGTGAATTAATATGATCTATCTGTAATATTTTTAACTACGTGATTAATTTAGAGCATTACATAGATAATATTAAATGTTGCTATGAGAATCTGGAAGGAAAAAAAAAACTTTATATCTCATCAAACTGGTAATAACAATTTTCAACCTTCTATATATTCTGAAAGTTTGTGTGTGCTTAGAAAAGTCTGGGCTTGTAAACTAGGCATCATGTTTTTAACAAATAATTGTCTCACGTCACAAGCATTATTTATGATAATTGTATGTGTTAGATAAGAGCATGCTCTCTTTGTCTTAACTAGTCGAAAATCACTAGAAAATACTTTCAATGGGTCTACCATATATATAGTAATAATCTTTCGATGATGACACTAATCATAATTTATATACAACTCTAAGGGTTGGTCGAGTTGTAAAAATTTAAGAATAATTTGCGTCACTTTAAAGGGTCACTGGAGATTTGTCCGGATATTAATTTCAAGAATTCGAAATTAGTTGAAGTGTGTGCAAACTATCCCTAACTACCACTTATTAAAAAAGAAAATCATAATATACATATATGAAGTGTTGCTAAATCGTGGTAGGATTTGTAGCAAATGATCATGGCCCAATCAGCCCAATATATTATATGGGGAGAATTACACTCGTAATCTTTGTGAATTATCTCTTGTATTAATTATATCTTCTATTTGCATTAATTTTGAGTTTGAATTTTTCATCTTATCAATTTAATTTAATTGATAACACTTTTTTTTTTTTAGATTTTAAACTAATATTAACAAACAAAATAGTTCATTCACTCCTCAAAGTGATTGAGGATGGGAGCTTTTAAATGCTCCTGCATAATTTCTTTTCACACTCGGTGGGTACAAAATACCTGATAAATCAAAGAACTGAAACAATCGGACAGGATTAGGTTTGTTGGTTATTGATTTAGGCTTTACTTAAACCCAAAAGCAAAGTTAGAATTTTATCTTGGAAGGGGCCAAAAACACATCTATAAAAAAATTATAACTAATAATACAAGCTATGTTTAGTATACCAAAATAAAAATTAGCAATAACATTTATAAACTGATTTATGATGATTAAAAAAAAAAAGAAAACGAAATAAGGAAATAAGGAAAATAAATAATACAATAACACAAAATTAATACACCTACAACCATTAATACAATAATTTCAGATGAATGCCATTAATAATTGAACATATTAGATATTAAACAAAATGTAAGAAAAATATGATAAAGGTAATATTATTTAAAAAAATAATTCCATTTTCTTAATAGAAAAAAAAAATGCAAAGAGAAAAAAAGAAAGAAAACTAGTGTTCCTTTTGTTTGGGCGGAATATTTTTTTTGAAAAATATTTTTTGTATTTATTGATGTCTGATATTGAAAATTGAAAATCAAGACATTTTTCATAATTAATAAAAAATAAGTCTATTTAAACGAAAAATATTTTCTAGTTTTAAAAGGAAGAAAATATTTTTTACATTGAGGGTGTTTGTTTCAGTTTTTCAGAGCCAACTTATGGCTTTTAGCTTTGAAAAAGTTATTTTAGACTGTTTGGTTAAGCTTATTTCAAACAGTTTCTGATTCTAACAAGTTATTTTAACTAAAAAAAGCTGATTCTGAGAAGCTGCTCACCCCTTACTTCTGATTATCAGCTTCTGCTGTAGACATGTTAATTATGGTTATACTCTTAAATTTTTTTATTTTTTATTTTTTTAAAAATAGAAAAAGACTCAAATGGACTATAGATTATTATTATTATTTTTTTATGATAAATATAGACAAACAAAAAATAAAATTAATTGAAAAAGCTATTTCACAGCTTATTTAACAAACACTACTCAGCAACTTAAATCTATAATCCAACAATTACACCAAACAGATTAACAACTTCTGATTAAAGTCATAATCTATAATCTGTTAAATTATAATCTATAAGCTGTTTTAACAGTTACACCAAACGGGGCCATTAAAATTTTACTAATGTCACCATAGACACCACCACCATCACCGTTACCATCACTACCGTCATCACTCCACCACCATGCCACCACCTCTACCTCCTCCTTTATTTCACTATTACCACCACCAAATATAAAAAATATATATATATTTTTTCTCTAAAAATATTTTTTTTTAAAAAAATTCCTTGCTCCCCCCCTAAACAAACTTTGTTAACTATCTGCTTCTCTTCTTGGAAAGAGGACCACTCCTCATGAAACAACTTTGACTCATAAAACAACTCTAGCCTCAATTTGGTTGTGATTTCAAATCATGATTTCACATATTAATTTAAGTATAATGTTTGATTAGAGTTTTTAAATGGTATTTTCAAAATTTTGTGGAAAATATTCTGTCTAAGGCACGATTTTCTGTTTTGACAGACGCGTTTTTCAATTTTTTTAAAAAAATTTGACCTAACCGATTGACCGGCCAGTTGACCGGAACAGTAATTTAAAAATTATTTTTTTTTTTTTTTTTTTCAATTGATATGTTAATTTTTATATATTCAAAAAAAATATTTTCTAAATTTTTAAAAAAAATTTATATGCTTTAAAATAATTTTAAGTTGTATGTTTAGTTATAAGTTATAAATTTTTATATCAAATATCAAATGTCACATCAAATATTCCTCACTCCATTCAAAACTCTTTTCAAAACTCTCATCAAATAAATTTTCTACACTCAAATCATAATTTCAAACCTCACAAACTCAAAATACAACTCAACCTCTTAAATCATAATTGTAAAACTCTACAAAATGCAACATTAGTTACTCGAAGATTTGAAGATTTGGAGATTTGAATCTGAGCGATTAAAGTTCTCAGTCTACTCCTCCAAATTTGCGGTTCTCAGACTCCAGATTTGCGGCCTCCAAATTTGTTTTCGGCCTCTACATTTGTGGTTAAAATTCAAACAAACACACTCTCTCACTCGATTTCAAACACACTCTCTCGCTTGATTTCAGATCTGGCGATGATTTGAAGGCCATCACTTGGATTGTAGATTTTGAAGTTTGGTTCTCGATTTTGTGAGTTTCAATTCGTTTAGCTGTTTCTTTTTCTTTTTTTTTTCTTTTTTTGGGTTAAAGAGTGTATACATTCATACTCATATCTTGCGTCTCTATTATGTTTTTATTAGATCTCGCATATCAATTGGTTGCTTCTTTCTATCTTGCTAAACTACTCGAACTTACATCTGTAAGTTTTTACTACATATGCATTTGTTTTGTATGAACTCAGATCTCTGATTTTTCAAATCTATTTGAGATCTATATGCTTTCTCAGATATTGGTGTTCATTGTTTTGGTTTGTCAATTTCTATGCCCTTTCTCTGATATTGATGTTCATTGTGTGTGTTTGTTGCTTACACTGTAAATTCTCTGTCATTGTTCTGATATATATACACGGTAAATTGATGTTTGTTTGGAGAACTTCATTTGTTAATTTCTATGCCATTGATTTTGTTAATTTCTACACTGTAAATTGATTCGTTTGTTGTGCACGATCTGAATTCTTTGGCGTAACCACAAACTTGGCAATAACTCTGCAACTTTAACCCTTCCATGCCAAGCTAACCAGCCAACGTTAACCCGTCTAGATGAAAGACATAATATTCCTTCCGTGGACTGCAGTAGCACCAACCCATTTGTACAGAGACACCACAAAAAGACACTTGATGAATCAGCTTTCCACATCATCTTGTCTTCTCCGTCACCATTCAGCTGAGTTAACAGAGCTAATCTATTCTGCAGCAACCCAAAATCCTCATTTTTTCTTGATCTAAGACCTCTCCTGAAAAAGTCTCCTCCACTAGGTCCTCTCTTCCATTTGTCCATGAAGAAGAATGCAGAAATCATTTTTAGAGATGTCAAGATTAAATAACCTTAGGAACTCCTCTTTAAGGACAATATTACCCAGCCATTTATCATTCCAAAAAGACAGTTATGCTGCCATTCCCAATGGAGAATTCAATATTTGAAACAAAGAAGCTATACAAATCTAGGTATCTATTTTTGATAGCCATGATATCTTTCCAAACACTAGAAGAATTGTGTGGAGAAGTGTCAAAAGGCAGCCAGGAATTACTCTCTGATCTTGACTTACAACTTATAAATCTCCTTTAGAGAGAACTTCTTTCCTTCCCATACCTCCACCACCATTCCATCAAGGCATTCATTCATTCCCTTTATTTTGATAAATAAATTTTGTATTTAGATAAATAAATTCTTTATTTATTTTGATTGGTTAGGGTAGGCAGCAATTACATGAAGAATAAAGCATGTAGAGCTAATTATTGGGTGAAAATTCTTTACATTTGGGATAGTGTCTCATTTACGAATATTTAATATTAATTATGAAATTAAAAACACATAACTCACTCAACAGAGGTTGAAAGCTAGTGTTACAATACCATAACTTGTCTGTTTGTGTAATTGATTTTACCAAACATTGATAGATTAGAAGCTAGTGTCACACCTTGATAATGAATTTATTTGTTAGAACACTTTATTTACGGTTATGATCAGGCATGTCAATTGATCATCTTTATATTATGGTATAAAATTTTCACTTTAGCATCATGCAATAGTCACCAAGTAAAAAAATATTGTTGTGGGCTTGCTGCTATGTGCCTAGATTGGTATGTTGTTGTGTGTATGCTATTATTGAGTACTTAATAGTTAAAGTTGCTGATTATTGCTGACGAGTCGATGAAGAAATTTATTTTGGCATCTGTTGGGAAAAAAAAAATGGAGAGAGTGGAAGGCTAGAATTAAAAAAAAATGGGGTATATGCCATTCGACAATGATGTTGATAGGTTAACACATCGACCCGAAAGAGTACATGAGCATCAATGGCGAGCTTGGTCTATTATTGAGCCAAGCTGATGGGTATGTCTTTCCCTTAGTTTCATTGTGATTCGCTTTTATATCAATTTTTTGTTTTTTCATATGGTTGTGAATTCAATTAGTGTAGGAAGCTATTTGTATCAGGGTTGATAGTTGCATTGTATAGTAGTTAAATTGAATTCATCCGAATCCTAAACTTGAATTCTGGTTTCTGATTGTAAAACTGATTCAGCTATTGATTTTCTTAGATTAGACCAGAATGTCAACTGTATTTTTCAATTTCCATGTATTAGAACCTCTATAATGCTAATTATATATTTTGAAACAATCAGAATCACTTCAATTGAACCATACATACCACACTAGAAAAATGTTGTTTTGGATTATGTTTTGTTACATGTATTGATTTTCTAATTTTGTAGCCCTTAGAATACAATGGCTCAATTAAGTTGTTGAGCATCGCCCTATTTGTTTTCACTTGTAAAACAAGTTAATTTTAGCTTTAAAACAAATTGTTTATCAAGATGCTGATGAAATTTTGCAATGACGACGCTGTTACAGTTTGAATTTGCAATTGTAGTACTAACTACTAGCAGTTCATTGTTTCTCTTTGATTTCATTAGCCCTAACAGTGTGTCTTTGGATATATTCCATGTCTAATTTAGTCAATCATGGTTGATTGTTTCAGGCATCTGAGCTCCGCGAGAAGTTTGACACCAATAAGCACGTGGATTGAAGAGTACATATATTTTGTGTAGTAAAAATCTCATGAAATGTGTAATTAATTTGGTTCATAGACAAGTTGAGTACTTTCATGTACTTTTCCCCAACTCTGTATAATGTTTTATGATGTGTTGATTACAATATATTAGATGTATAAAAATTCTAATTAGCTTGATGCATGGTTGGCACATGGATATGTGAATTTGAGCCATTTGTGTTCGTAGTTAAATTTTCATGCTGCCTTCTTTAGTTAAATTCTTTGGTTTGTGCTATATTTCAGAATCAGGAGAGGAAAAAAAAAAAGGTGGCGTTTTTAAAAAAAGGCCACTAAATGACGTCACACGTTAGTTTGTGACGGAAATTGAAGTGGATGTCAAAGATTTAGCGGCGTTTTCAAAAGCGTCGTCTAATATATTTAGCGATGTTCTTCAAATGTTATAAAGCTGTTGCGGCTACCGTATCAGCGACGAAAATATTAAACATAGCTTTAACTTTAAAACTCAAATTTCTTATAGTATTAACACCAGGACTCAATATATATTTTTGAGAATTTATATTAACTTAAAAACTTAAGCATATAAGTGAAGAGTTCGTGTAATATTTATTAAAACTCATCAATTTGACTCTTTATTTGATATGAGATTCTACTTTCACACATGCATCATGTTCTAGTACTAGTTTCACCAAAGGGTTGTAGCACGGTGAATTTGCAATTGTCCATCTCATAATAGTTGATTTTATTTTATTGGTTGTGTTACTTGATTTAATTTGTATTTATTGTTTTTAAGTTTGAGTTAGACTTCACTATACTACTCACAGTTGTTGGCTTTTATTAAATAATATTTTATTCTTTAACTGTGTTATGTTTAAATGTTAAAGACTTATTTATTTTAATTAATTGATTCACTTATTTTTAGTATAATTCAACTGTGGTTCCAACTCGAGCTATATTAGGTTGGGTTGGGTTTTTTTTGTTCTAGTGTATGATTGTTTTGGAACCAATCATAATTGAATTCGTTTTAAATTTCGTATCAACTAGAACCAAACTTACCATTAAGACCCATGTACATTGCAAAATAAATTATTGTATAATGGTTGTATATAGAAATTCTTAGGGTATGTTTAGTACCTCTTGAGGGGATGGAAAACCCTCTCTTTTGCGTGGATTGTTCGGCATGAGCTATTTTGACTAATAAAATAAAATGTCACATTTAAATTATAATTATTTTATTTTTTCTCTCACAATCATCAAATCAACTACAAATAAATAAATAAACAAAAAAAAGTCAAAATTTATCCCAAACACAATTTTTTTAATCATGCTAAAATAGCTAAAAAAATAAAAAAATAAAGCCAAATTAGCTCATTCCAAACGAGGACTTAGGATCTATTTCATCTCATAAGAAGTGGAGGACATGTTTTTGAAACCCGTTTTCGTGTCACATTGAGCACAGATTTCATCGCACCCTAGCAATAATAAAATTATGAGTTATTTAGATGAAGACTCCTTAAACTATTGAAAAATATCACTTTGACTTCTTAAACTATAAAAGTGTACAAATCATAAACTGTTTAGAAGTATCGCTTTGCCCTCTAAATTATAAAAGTGTGCAAATAGACCCCCTAAACTATTGGCATGTTTCACTTTGACCCCTTCTATTAGGGGGTCTAATTTTTACGCTTTTATAATTTAGGAGGTTAATTTGTACACTTTTATAGTTTAAGGGATGACAATGATAGTTCTCAGTAGTTTAGAGAGTCTTTGTGTAAATAATCCTAGAATAATTGAATGTGCCTCATCTTTTGTATTTGGGTGTCTTTTAAGGTCTAATTCCATTCTATAAAACAATGAAGGCATGTTTCCAAAAAAAATTTCATGTACTTTTCTAACACATTTCGTTGTGTACCTTAACAAGGGATAGAAGCACCCATGCACTCATCTTTTACATTTGGAAGTTTCTTATGGTCCTAATTTTTCGTAAGAAATGGAGGACATGTTTCACAATAAACCCTCATTTGAACTATATTTGGCCTAATTCTTCTTTAAAAGGAAAGAGGTTCAAAATATTATTACTTATCCAAAAGTCGCTATGAAAGATTATGAATTAATTTGATAATTTCCTTGTTGCTTTTGCATTGCCTTAATTTCTATGCTTATATAGATGTAGAGTGCCTCTTGTATTGTGCGAGAAAGTTGTAATCGTTTTCAAATCATAGTAAAATTGCAACGACCGTCACTACAACAAATTCTTAGTTCAGCAACACTCAAAAGTGTCACAAAACTATTCCTTTAGTGACATTTTTTAGTCTTGTAGCATTTTGAACAAGTACCATTGATATCCATGTCACGCTAGATATTAGTGGCACTTCAGTGACACTTGTAGATACCATTACACCATAATAGTTTTGAGATTTTTTGTGACATCTACAAGTGCCATTATTTATTTATTTATTTCAATGTTGCTCATGCTTATTTTAGTAGATACCAAGCTAGCACCATTAGTGGCATTTGTGACTACTAAAGATTTTTAAAAAAATGTATTATATATAATATTTGGAACACTAATCTGCAAATCTTGTTCTTTTAGAAACTAAATAAATAAAATTTTATTTATAAAATATAAATACAACATCCATGAAACTGACAGTTTAAACTCATAAAAATCAATTGTAATCTAACTTACATATCCCAAACCCAAAAAGTAAAAATTAAAAATTAAAATGATATCTACTTTAGACAACTTTGCGTCATATATCTTGAATAAGTCAACGTCATGTATGTCAATCCCATTTGGTTCAACCAATACCAAAAGTCAACGTTGATTTTTTTTCACTGCTTGCTGTGAGTCCTTTTATGGCACGGTTGAAAAAGCTTCATGCTTCTGCATGCCTCCAAAGTAGGTAAAACATAATGCCCATCAGTGCTTCTATTTTCGCAATTGTACTTTATTGATGATTATCCTCAAAAAAAATTATTTTTGAAAAATCTCAAATCCTCCGAGATTGTGATTTGTAATTAGGATTAAATTTCATTAAACAACAATTTCCAATCAAACAAGCATAGAACTAATCCAGTTAAGAGAGAATTGAATTGGTTCTACAAATATAAGCAATGACAAATGAACACAACGATATATATAACGTGAAAAAAATCACAATTGGAGCACCTCCAATTATGATAAAAAAAAAATAATGGGTCAAAGTCACAAAACAATCCACTAAGAAGACATAGGAATTACACAAGAAAACCCTCAATTAACTAGAGAATCCACAACCAAATTGAACTGAACTTGTTGTACCTTTTCCAACATTGTCTTCACATCGAAATTGCTTCGCCCAACTTTAAATCCACAATGTCAAAGTCAAATCCAAAACGATGAGCCACTTTGGAATTTACTGAACCTTCCAAGCTCAAGTTCTCCGAAATCCACCGATAAACATCTCTCTAGAAAGTGTAAAAAAATCCCTTGATGATCTTCAATATAAAGCTTGCTGATCCATAGATCATTCTCAATTCATCAAGGTACACACATGGATCATTCTAGAGACTCTCCCTTTGTTTTTCACACTCTAGGGTTGAATATTTGAGAGTCTCTATCAAATCTGATCCGAAAACTCACATTTAAGTGACTGAAACCGACTTAGACTGCTCGAGTGCTCAATAGGTTGCTCAAGCAAACTTTTTGATGATCCAGTATTTTTCTCTGAAGCTTTGAGATGCCGCAAGCATGCCTAGACCACTGGAGCACAACTTTCAGCGCTCGAACGCACATGTCTCTACTCGAGCGCAACTTCCTATACTCGAGCATTCATCAACAAAAATGCTCCTTTGCTTGAGCGCAACATTCTCTGCTCGACTGCACACACCTTTCCTTTAGCACAGACTTCTCTTCCCAAGCACAAATTGTAAATTGAGTTGGATTCATATCTAAACACCCTCATTCTCACAAAAGAGTGAATGCAATTACATTTGAATGTAGTTTTGTCCAACGGAATTGTCAATCACAAAAAAAAAAAACCTAACAATTTCCTTATGTAAGAACTTAAATGCATCATTCAGTTAGTTAAAAGATTAATGCATCTCAAAAGCACATAGCAATGAATTTATTCATGTTCAGTAACAAATTGATTAATAGGAAATAAACCAAGTAACAAGAAACAAGTACCTTCAGATCCTTGAAGAATTTTTGAAGTAACACAATAAGCAATAGTCCAAAAACATTCAATTTAGTATGTATGGGCAACAATTACAACTTTTGTACAAAGTTCCATTGCTACTCCACTTAATTTTGAATCACTAGCTCCAAAAGGACAGCTCATATAAGTATTTCATCAAACAACTTATATGCATACAACAATCAAGCAGTTTTAGTAATGACTTTATCCTAATAGTCTTTTAAGCATTGTACCACATATTAACAATCTGTAAAAAACTAAAATAAAATAAAAAATTGTGATAATATAGCATGATAGATGAATCAAAGTAAGTTAATACAACATGATAGATGATCCCTAACATTGTTCATGGGAATGTTATTTTTTAACATCATTCATAGGAATCAGAGTTAGTTAATATAGCTAGAGATCATCTATCATGCTAAATTATTAATTTGAGTTAATGTGGTCCTAGCTAAAATTGATAATTTTGAGAACAAAAATGACAAAATTGAAAATTTGAGGGACTAAAATGACAAGAAATGCATACTTTAAGGGTTAAAACTGTCTTTTATCTAATAATAAAATACTTTTTGCATCATCAATGTAAACAGACTATAGAGATAGGACTAAATTGACAACTTTGAGGACCAAAATGACAAAATTGAAACTTAAGGGACTAAAATGACAAAGAACACATACTTTAAGAATTAAAACTGTATTTTATCCATTTGGAGAATAAGCAAAAATTAGGATGTATGAGTTATCTACAGATGACCAAAAGAGAAAGCATGTACAAAACATTACATCAGCTAGAGTCACATGCGACATGAATAAAATTTAGAAATATGAGTTGTCTCAATATTTTTAGCAAATTGTGGTCTTAGATTATTTTCAAATATATTTAGGTTGAAAGACAATAATGGTTTTAAACCATTGATTGTTCTGAAACAAGTTCTGTGTACATATCAATCCTAAGAAGGCTATTAGGTGCACGTGATTTTCACTATCTATTTTTTGAAATTGATAAGGAAA